ATAACAGACATTTTCTAATTGTGTATTTTTCAATAAATTTTCTCATGATAGACATTTATCAATGTTCACAACCTTCCTCTTTTGTCAAACCGATTTAATGGCAATGTTAATGTTGAGATTGTCGTCTCCTTATAAGGAAACAGTCGGCATTCATTGAACGTTACTGTCGGTTGGAAATTATAAAATCTTTCTCTTAAAACTTTTCACAAATATAGGAATAATAATAGGCGACTAACTCTTATTGCTCTTTTTATCATAGGTGGGGGTTTCTAAACTTTGTTTCAAGCTGTGTATACCGTCAGCATCTTCTTTATCTTGTTTATTCTATTATTTTAAATGCTAATCCCACCAGCGGATTAATGGACAACCGCTTAGATTAAGGAATTAGTGAGCCGTTGTCAAATTCTAGTCGAATCCATTACATTACATGATCTTCTATTTCTTCGCTTTCTCTGCTATTTACCCAGCTATGGATAAATATTAAGACAGACTGGGTTCTATAGCCTTGGTTGGCAACTATGAGAAGGAGAAATCTAAATTCAAAACCTGCGTTTGGGGGTCTTGCGACCTACGATGCACCAGGTCTCTGTATTTGACTCTTCAAAAAGTGTTGTTGGTTTTGTAGAAAGCCTTCAAATCATATGTGCTGGTGTCTGACTGTCGGTTCCTAAGAACTGAGTTGCTTGACCCTCATACGTCGAATACGACGGGTGAGTTCAGCAGCAGTCATTACATCAGTAATTAATTCAGTCGCTTCCCCTTGGTTTGCCATATATAGTCTGGTGCTCTTGATGTATACCACGAGATTCTCGACAAAATCCAAAGCAGTGTCTGCAATGTAATCGATCCTGACTTCAGTCACTTTCGGACCGACGTAACATAGCCTCCCTCTGTCTTTTCTACAAATACTTTCATGGCAACTGATTTTACTACATGAACTTCAGTTTGTTTAAATTACAAAACAATAATTTATTCTATAAATTCTATTATTTTCTATAAATATTTCCTGGAAATTTTTTTAATGAGCTGCCCTTTTTTCGTTCCTCGAATGCATGAATTTAAGCGGAGGAGGCACGGTGGAGTAATGGATATCGGCTTGGATTGAGGAATCGGAGAGTCGAGTTCGAATTCCAGTCAAATCCATTACATTCACTTACGTGGTAATACCCTTGGGAAAGGTATGAATCCTGTTCTTCTCACTCCAGCTATGGATAAATAGCAGGACAGACTGGGTTCTATAGGACAACTCTGAATTCAAACCCGGAGTGGGGCCCCAAAGGCGTATGGACAGCAGCTGGTACCAAACTGTATTAGTTTATCCACTCCTTTGGACTCTGCTAGCAAGAGAGGGAACTAGACGTCTGGGCAACTCTAGTTCTCCATATATTCCGCCCAGGCTCCTAGCGCACCGCGCTACTCCATCGTCTCTCGAAACGGACGGATGCCGACGAGTAGATTGGCAATTAGGTCTCACCTTTTTTCTGTTCAACTACCAAGATGCAAACGCCACTTTTACTCTAACAATTTATTTTCTCGCCCTTCCCAACTGTGAAACTCCCTTCCGATTTCTTGCTTCCCCGATAACTACCATTTACAAAAAATTAAGTGTAACGTCAATCGACATCTGTTTTTTGAACCCTGTTCCTTTCCTCAATTCTCTCTATTCTCAGTCTTCTTATTCCCTTTCACATTCAATCCGTGTAACCCAGTACGCTTGGGTGAAATGATGGAAAATATATATATATATATATATATATATATATATATATATATATATATCCAGGTACGAAGAGAACGAATGGAGTACACTTCCAACGTTCGTATCATTTAATTTAAAAGAGTCCTTAATTTACAGTGGCCTGGGAAGACGCATCATTATGTGCTGAAACACGACTGTGTAGCGATTCTTACATGCCTTTGTTGTAATATTGTAGAAAAAATAATATACATATACATATATATATATCTAAATTATTTGCTCTGGATTTACATTGAGCTCTCTGGATTTTATCCTCCTTAGGTTTACCCATGCGGATTACCTAGTTTTTCATAATCTATCTATCTATCTATCTATCTATCTATCTATCTCTCTCTCTCTCTCTCTCTCTCTATATATATATATATATATATATATATATATATATATATATATATATATATCAGGTGGGGGTGATGATTGCGTTTAATATGTTGACAGTACGTTTCACAGTTTTATGCGATCATCACGCACAGACACACACACACACACATATATATATATATATATATATATATATATATATATATATATATATATATACACAGTCTTCCATAATTCACCTCAAAGGCTTGACTTTTTTCGAATACGATATTGAAACTAGAATCTGTCTTTATAGAAGTGATATACAGGGACTGAAATAAAGGTGAGTTTGGTAAAATAACAAGAAATTTAAGTAGTATTAAATAAAATTAGGATATTTTTTTTGCTTGTAAAATTTCGTGCCTTGTAATGAATAATGTCAGTTAATCAAAATGGCGTAATTATTTTTATCTTCAAATTTTTCAAATTACGTGATTAGCTTTTGATTCAAGAACAACAAAAAAATAACTACATTTTATAAAGTTCATTGTTGACAGAACGAATTAGGAACATAATGACATCATGAATAATTATTTTCGTCATCGTTTTGATTTTGGAACATCATGCAATCCACATTGGAGAAAGAAAGTCGCTCTTGCAAACACTTCCTTTTTCTACAATGTTATGTTTATGGATTCGTTTTACTATTCCTTATTATTATTTTCATTGTTAAAAACGAGATTATATTTATTGTAGAAAAATTAAATAGAAATATTATAGAAAATAATGCTTACAAAACTTTATAGACAATTTCCGAATAAATTATAACTTCTTCTTTCACATGAATATCTGAGGTTACGCGACGGCAATTATGTCTACTCGGTGCTAGAATTGTTGCCTGGTTATATCTTTCTACGTTGACACAACATGAGAATTTAGTTTTGCAACATGTCTTTTAGATGCTCAATGGGGTTTAAATCTGGTGAGCACATAATTAATAAAGTTCTTGGATGTCATTTGAGTATTTCTAACACAAATTTCGTGTTAATATTTAACAGCCGTCCACCATGAGGGATGTATGTGGCACAAGGTCGAGTTTACTGTGGGTTCTCTGAGCCCGTAGGCTCGGCCAAAAATATTCCCTTAGAATCCGCATAAACGGGTTCAGGGCCTGTCTACCTCCCCGGACGAAACTTTGCCCTTCGGCAAAGCCTCGACCGGGTTCCTCTCTGCCAAAGACAGAGAATTCGACAGTTGAACAGCCTATGGCACTGTTCCAACACATGTTTCATGTTACCTGGGCTCATTGTGGGAGTTGTTATTTATTAAAAGAATCATGACCACATATGGAAAATGTCAAAAAAAAAAAAAAAAGAAAAAAAAAAAGGTTGTCAGCAAGTTCTGGTACACATCACAACTATGAAGACGGTTTAATTTCACTTATAGTCCTTGCGAACTTCAATAAAACATTTTTTTAAATTCATTCCACCATAAGTAAAGCAACAAAGCCACTAAGACGCAAGTGGTTATTTGGTATTATGAGGAAAAACCTTATTTAGGAGAGAGAACAATAAAGGAACAGGAATTAAGAAGACAGAAGATAATGATTGACATTGCATTTCAATTTTTGAAGATCAAAGTTGACTGGGAAGCAAGAAACCCGATAAGTGCGAAGGAAGAAACTTTTAGCATAGAACTTGCGGTTACATGTAACCATTTCAATTGTAAAAAGATGAGAGCATGTCACCAATCTAGTACATCATATGGTTGAGATACCATAGAGGAAAGTTTATCAGAACAATTACCATGAAAGTATTTATAGAAAAGGCAACAGGAAAACTACATTAGAGCAGTGGGAAAGTGACTGAAGCCAATATGCCAGGTCAGGACCAATAAGATTGCAGATTCTTCTTTGTATCTTATCAAGAATCTCTAAATAAATAGCAGAAGCACAAGACCGGATGTGGCAGCAATATTCAATGCATGGATGAATGGTAGACTTATAAAGGTGTAAAATAGATTCTGTTGAGAAAACTCGTCTAACACAACACAGTAAAGCAACTTGCCTAGCTGCTGACCTAGCAATTGATTCAATATAATTTTTCCACTTCATGTTAGCAGAAAAGACTAGCCCAGAAAAATATTTTAGGAACAAAAATTTATTTTTATTTTCTCGAAATTAAATTTAAATTTAAATGAAGAATCGTTAATACTTATTAACAATGTAGCATAGAAGTAACTAAATAAGCAAAAAAGTATCTATATAAATAAATTTGTACTTTATGTGCTGATGGGTTTCCATGATCAAATCAACAAAGTGCTGTCCATGTCTTGTATTACTGTTCCCACATTCCCAATGTCCAACCAAGAGTCCTGAGCTATGGTGTCTGGGAGACTCAATTTTCGTGAAAAGACACTTTTTAGAAGGATGCCATAGGAGTAAGGATGTGATGCTTTCCCTGTTCCACAAGTGAGAAGTACGATAGAAGAAACTGTTAACATAGAACTTATGGCTTCATCTAACCATTTCAACTGTAAAAAGATGAGAACGTATCACAAATCTAGTAGTGTGCTTAAATTCATAAGGTCACGATACCATAGAGGAAAGGTAGTCAGAATAATTACCATGAAAGTATTTATTGCAAAGGCACATGAAAGCTACTTTAAGACGGTAGGAAAGGAATTGAAGCCGAGATGCCAGGTCAAGATCAATAACATTGCAGATTCTTCTTTGGATTTTATCAAGACTCTATAAATATATAGCAGCAATATCAGGCCATTTGTGGCGTTAAGACTCAAAGAACGAATGGTAAATATGTTAGATCGATTCTTATCCAAGACAATTACAGGTCTTTTTTTTTTTTGTTCTGTTTTCATTTCTTTCTTTTTTATTTTGCGATCTTTTCCCCCATTCTACTGTTCTCTTTTTCGATTTGATATCATGTCCCTCTCTTTCTTTGTCTATATTCTTTTACTTCTTCACCTTCTATATTCTTCCTTTACCTCCACCCTCTCTCTATATCCTCCTTCCTCTTCCCGTCTATATTCCTCCTTCTCTTCCTCCTATCTCTCTATCTTCTTTCCTCTTTTCCTTTCTATATGCTTCCTTCTCCTCCTACCTCTATACAACCCTTCCTCTCTTTCCTTCCATATTCTTCCTCTACCCCCACCCTCTCTCTATATCCTCCTTCCTCTTTCCGTCTATATTCATCCTCTTCCTCCTTACTCTCCATATTCTTTCCTCTTTTCCTTTCTATATGCCTCCTTCTCCTCCTACCTCTATATACTCCTTCCTCTCTTTTCTTCTATATTCTTCCTCCTCTTTCGCCTTCTGTCTCTATATCCTCCTTCGTCTTTTCCCGTCTATTTACCTCCTTCTCCTACTCTTCCCGCCTCTCTTCCTTCCTCTTTCCTTCTGTATTCTTCTTCTTCTTCTTACTCCTCCTCCTATATATCCCTCCTCTCTTCCCTTCTATACTCTTCATCCTCTTCCTCCCCCTCCTCCTATCCCTATGTCCTCCTTCCTCTCTTCCCTTCTAAACAAAGATTTCCCTTCTCCTTTTCCTGTCTTCATATCCACTATTCTCGTTTAAATTTTCCTCCTCCTCCTTCTATCTTTATGTCCCTTCTACATGCTTCTTCCCCCCCATCTCTATATCCCCCTTCCTCTTTTCCCTTCTTTATTTCCCTCCTCCTTTCTCCCCCAGTTTTCTTTTTTGACTTCTTCGTCTTCAATCTAGAACTCTTCCTCCTCCTCCTACTACTACTCTTACTCCCTCTATATTCGCCTTTTTACCAATTCAAAGTTTCCTCTTCTGTAATTCTCGCACCACTACTACACACTCTTTCCCCTGCAGATTTTTTTCTTATTTCTTGTTTTCGACATGCTCCCATTTTTTTTTCTATCCTCTCCATCGGCTTTTCTTTCTCTTTGTTTCTCATTGTCACGATGACGTCACATATTGTTTAAATAGCCTGCTGATTCGATTGGGTAGTTCGTGCAATTGAATCAAATTGAAGTCAGCTCCGACTCTCGTAATGCAATCACCTTGTTTGCACTGGCGGGAAACTTCGTGGAAATTTCGTTAAATGTTTGGCTAAATCCTGAACTTAAGGAAACTAGCGAAAGGCAAAACGAAAGAAAATAATGAAAAAAGAAAAAAAAAATACTGAAAATGCAAGAACTATTGTGAATTGAATAAACCTTTTGGATTCTTTGTTTTCGATGAAAGAAAAATCTTTGATAATCAAAAGTAAAGAAATCAATAACACACATTAAAAACAAAACGAAACACAATTTCAAATTCCCAAGGCAATGAAAGGGTAGGTAACATAGCTCATATTGTAAACATGTCATTTATAAAAATGGTTACATAATAATTGAGGTCCTGAGCTCATTAGCAAGAATCTTCAAAAATATTAAACAAACAAATATAAATATATATTTCTGATATATCTCCTAGAAGTATTCTTATTGGACATGTAAAAACAATATATATATATATATATATATATATATATATATATATATATATATATATATATGTATATATATATGAATCTAAATATAAAAGAGGTCATTGAAGCCAACACCCAGAGATGACACTCTGTTTCATATTAAAGGCTAAATGCAATCGTCACGCCTGACGGTTGCGTTTAGTAAGAAACAGTCTATGACTAAAATGTCCACTTTTATATTTACATACGCTCTATCTCTGATATAGAGCACTTTAAATAAATATAGCATAAAAACTATATTTTTTATCATATATGCATATATACTTTTACCTATAAATTAACTATATTTTATATATATATATATATATATATATATATATATATATATATATATATATATATATATATATTGCTGCATTTAATTTATAAAAAATTGGGTATACTGCTAATCTTAGTATTGGTCAGAATGTCTTGAATCTGTCTTCATACCAGTTGTCTGAACTCGAACTATCAATCCTCTCGCACGGACTGGATTTTTGTATTCCCGCCTCACGTATTAAGCGAGAGGTGAATTCGGAGTTTGAGGTTTTGTTTGCGCAGCTTGCTAAATTATAACCTGAATCTGCTAGCAAAATCAGCGACCTCAAGGCAAAGTTGAATAAAAAAGCACATTGTTACGCAAGTACTCCTGTTTCACATAATGAATTGAAGTGGAATAAGGAACAATTTCGGGTAATTAAAACACTTCGTAATAATAAAGCTTTGGTAATTACGAACCCCAAGAAAGGTTCTGGCGATGTCATCCTTGACTATCAGGATTATGTCAACAAGATGATGACAGTTCTTGAGGATTCCTCTAAATTTGCCCGGTTAGGCCCAATAGATAAATTTGATTCTACATTATCTATTGAGGCCAAGATCCTCTACATTATCTATTGAGGCCAAGATCCAAAAATGTCTGGTTAAGTGGGTAAAAAGTGGAAAATTGCCCACTGATATTTTGAATTTAATTAGACCTTCGGGCTCCATTCGTCCTCGTCTCTATGGCTTTCCCAAAACTCATACCATTGAGACCTATTCTATCTATGATTGGGTTTTCTCAACACGGTGTGGCTAAATGGCTTTCCACTATACTACATCCTGTTTTGGAGCAATATAACTCTTCTTGTATTGAAGATTCATTTAAATTTACCCGTTTTATGCAGTGTTATTCGTCTACGGATAAATTTATGTGTTCATATGATATCGCCAGTTTATTTACTTGCATTCCACTTGCTGAGACTATCGATATATGTACTGATGCCCTATATCGTAGTCAATTGTCTCCGCCTGTTATTCCGGAAGACGTGTTTGTTGAACTGATGAAATTTGCCACGATGTCAGTTGAGTTCAGTTTCGACGGCATCATGTACAGGCAGATTGATGGTGTTTCGATGGGTTCCCCTTTGGGGCCCATCTTAGCAAATATCTTTGTTGGGTTCCAGGAAGAGAGTGTACTACTAAAATCTGATAAACCTGACGTTTATTTCCGTTACGTTGATGACACTTTTTGTCTCTTCGATAACGAGATTAAAGCGGACCAATTTTTTGCGTCCCTTAACGATATACATCCGGCCTTGAAATTTACACAGGGAAAGGAGGTTGATTTATCTCTTCCCTTTCTCGATGCACTCGTCAGCAGATCTACGTTAGGTTTTATTACTTCTGTGTACCGTAAGCCGACGTTTACTAGTTTGTATATCCATTGGGATTCTTTCTGTCCCAGGAAACGCAAAATCAATTTAATTATGACCCTTACGCATAGGGTTGTCATAATCTGTTCGGACATTAAGTTGGATGATGAACTCAGGTTTATTACTTCTACTCTCTGCAACTATGCCTACCCATTGGGCATTGTTCAAGCAATTATTAAGAACGAAAAGTGAAACCCCCTTTAGTAGAGAGATGTCCTGTATATCTCCGCCTTCTCTGGCTAAGTAGTATCAGCGATAGGTTTGATAAGCAGGTTTCTACCGCAGTTCGACATTGTTACTTTGCCGCTAACACTCATTTTGTTTTCTCTGCCAGGCCAGTTCTTCCGTCTCTGCGTAAGGATGTTCTCCCACCACACCATAATAGTTCACTAATTTATTCCTTTAAATGTAGTTGCGGTTCGCACTACATAGGGAGAACGGCGCAAAGGCTAGATGCTAGAATAAAACAACACGTTCCAGCGAAAACCCGAAACCGGAAGTACACTCCTTCGGACATTCTGACCAATACATACGGGTCTTCCATCGCAGAACACCTTATAAATAGCCATAATTGTGCTGTTAGTTTTAGTGCGAACGCTTTTACCATCCTTAGCAAGTCCCATTCAAATTACCACCTGAAAGTGTTGGAGGCCATCTATATTCTATCTTTAAAGCCTTCTCTTTGTAAACAGAAGGATTTTATATTAGGCCTCCAACTAATTATCATTTAATATTTTTTTCCACCAATAAAATTTATCCATTGTTTTGTTTTTTATTATTATATAATTTATTCTATTTACCTCGATTTAGCTTTGTTGAGCGAGGTACGAAACCGGTTAGATGGCTCGTTTTTCATTTTTAATTTTTATTATCATGACTGGTAATAATAAAATTAATTTTTGTTCTTTTATGGCAGTGATAAAATTTTGTACCAACCAAACATATCTTTATATATATATATATATATATATATATATATATATATATATATATATATATACACTAAGGTTCAAAAAGTTTTAAACTGCCCCTAGAATTAGCATGGGATGAAAAAGAGTGAAACCTTTTTACCCCCAAAAATGAAAAACAAAACAAAACAAAACAAAAATCCCCACCCCAAAAAACACTTAGATTAATTGAAAGAAGAATTTATATCAATTATCAAACTTATATTTAGAGAAACTTTTGCAACGAAAGCCAAAAGTTTGTGCGGCAGTAATCAAGGCTAAAGGAGTTTATTTTGACGCGAGCAAAAATTAATCATAAAATGCTTTTTTTCTTTTTGTCACAATAAAAAATCATGTCTCACTTTTTTTTAACCATGTTGAATATTTTTCTCTTATTTAAAGTACAAAACAACTACTTCATGAGACCATTTAACAATTACGAGGGATGACCACAAACTTTTGAACTGTAGAGAGGAAAAGAGATAAAAAAAAGAAACAGAGAAAGAGAGAGTAAGAGTGAGAGAGAGAAAGAGAGAGAAAAAGAAACAGAGAGAGAAAGAGAAAGGGAGAGTGAGAAATAGAGAGGTAAAGAGAGAGAAAATGAGAAAAATAGAAAGATAGAGAATAGAAGAGGGAGGAAGAGAGAGAAAGAGAGGGAGAGAAAGAGAGAGATAAAGAGTGTAAGAGAGAGAGAAAAAGAAAGAGATAGATAGAAAGAGAAAAAGACAGAGCGAGAGAAAGAGAAAGAAAGAGACAGAGACACAGAGAGAGAGAGAGACAGCATAAAGAAGTATACCGCATGGTCTAATAATCGGTTCAGGCGTGAAACTGCCAGGCAATATTTTATTTTATATGATTACTTTTGATGCTTATGAAACACATTTTGTAAATTGCCTCTACCGAATTTTGACTTTAAAAATGTCCCATTAATTAAAAAAAATGTATGGTGTAGCGACAATGAAATAATTAAGTGCTTAAATGGTGGCCTTTGTTTAAATGGATGCTGTTGCTGACGCTACATGATACAATTTTATTAATTTTGAAAGTCGCCATTCGTCAAGGCAAATTTCCAAAACATGATTCTGAATCATGAAAAAGAGCTCTCCATCCACTGAATGCATAGCAAGATGGCTTTGATTGTCACGTGTAAATTGCTTTTTGCCAATGTGCCTGCAACATAGCAAAGTTATGCCTGTCGTTAATCTGACGTCCATTGAATGCGTGGGATGTTGGGAGTTGGGCGAAGCTGAAGAGATGGAATCATGGATTAGTGCTGAAATTTAGAATTGGGTTTGGTCACTGTGGAATGTAGCGATTTTGAATTGATGGCATTGACTGATGGATGAAACAGGTCAAGGAACAGTATCGTCAATTTCGACTAAATGCTATGACAGATAAATGGTTTGGATAATCTGCTTCAGGACTGTGAGTTTCAATTTGAAATTTGACATCGAAAGAACAGATGTTTAGGTGAATGTACTTGATCGAAAACAAGAAAAGATTGAAAGAATATGTATGTGAGTAAATATATTTATATACACGTATATGCATACATGTATGTATATATAGATATGGTTATTTCTTTCTCTCTCTCTCCCGTCCTCTCATTCTCTCTCTCTTCTCTCTCTCTCTCTCTCACTCTCTCTCTCTCTCTCTATATATATATATATATATAAGTAAGGCTTACTTTCCCTGACGATCCGTTTAGGTGAAACCTAGGTAGTTTTGTCTGGCTCACTAGGTGTATCTAGGTCTGCTCTACGGTTGTATTGAGCTCTTTTGTTAGTTAGTTGTTACTCGTATCGGGGTTTTTTCTTTGGGCTTCAGACCTG